CGCAGACATCACCCAACGCGCGCGACAGTACGATGAGCTCGTCAAGACAAACGACGCACTAGGTGACGAAATGGAAGCGGTCATCGCCGAGCGGAACACGGTAGCAGCCGACCGGGACGACCTTACTGCAGAGCTCGAGATACTGCGCGCGGAGAAGGACGTACTTCAAGCCTCGAAAGATTCGTTGGTGGAGGATCTGGAGCAGCTGCAGGCGGAGATGGACACGGTTGTCGACGGGAAGGAGGTCCTGCTGGTACGCCTGTCTTCATATTCTGACCTCATTATGTATGTAATACTTATGCGTTTTCAGGGTGAGAAGATCGTCCTCGAGCAGAGGCTGGCGCAAGAGGTCGTTAGGGTCTGCCAGGACAAGTCGGAGCGCACGCGTATGGAAGAGGAGAAGGGCATGCTCGAGGCTCAGCTCGCAGCCAAGCAGGACACGGTAGACGACCTCATGGCAGAGACGGACGCCCTCGAGGTGAGACACTCTCTCCTTCGAACACCACAAAACGCTAACCGACACATCATTCGCAGGACGACCTCTGTGCCGCGAGGAACAGCCTACAAGGTGCTCAACGCGAGCTCACAGAGCTCCGCGCCTCCACCTGTCCCCTCTCCCATCTGGACGCCATCCGCGCAGAGCTCCGCGCAGAGGCGGACGCACACGCGCAGCTCCGCGCGAAGCACGAGGTGCAGTCCGGCTGCCTCGACCTGTGTCGCGCCGCACTCCGGCTCGCGAACGAGGAGCGTGCGCACCTGCGCGGTGCGGTGGATCGCCACCGCGCGTGTCAGCAGGTCTCTGACGACCTCGAGGACATGCTCGTAGGCGCGCTGCAAGAGCGGAGTGCGGAGATTACGCTGCTCAAGGCGAAACTGGACGACCTGCTGCTCTCGAAGGCTCCTCCTGGCTCCAGTCCCTCTGACAGCCTTGCCCCAAGTCCTCAATCCGGCTCACGACAGACGACGGATGTTCCTTCGGCTGCTGTGGCGACTGCTCCTGCGATACTACTCAAGGCTAAGCAGCTCGGCTCTAAAACTCGCGACGTGAAGGTCACCATGTCGTCAAGGCGGTTTAATCGCAGTACATCTTCGCCTCACAAGACGGCGTCTCCTCGTGCTGTCAAGCCACATCTCGGTTTTTCGGGGCCCTCAGCTACGTCGGTCGCTCCGCTCAGGCTGCTCAGCAGGAAACCCAATTCCAACAGGACGGGGTCGACGATCGTCGGGTCTGTGGCGTCTAGTAGGCGTGCTTGATTCTAGGCTGCTGTGCTTCGACTCGGATGGGTCCCCTTGTCTGGCTGACGATGCGCGGCTTCTCTATGGCTCGGCTCGGCGTGGCTGGGATGGTCTGCTCGAGGCACTTACGCGTACGTCAATAGTGTATGTATGCGCGTCATCAGAATACGAATGGAATATTCCCTACTATTGCCACCCAATCCATCACCGTCTCATGCCACGGTCAAAATGGAGGATAAGCATGGAGATATCGGGTCGCAACGGTCAGTAATCACAATAGCGAGGCGCAATTGTGTTGACTGTGTCTTCTGCTTCAGGTCCCGCACAACACTGACACGAGGTCCAAGAGCGCGAAATGAAGGTAACCGCGTGTTTTGGAACTATTTATATGATCAGGGATGGCGATTTTCATGTGCCCATTCAGCAATCTGCCCTTTGTCGCTCAGCTTCGCTCTTGTTCAGGACGCCGATTCGCATTGGTGCGGTACGTCTCCAGAATTATCGAGGATGAGCGGCATTTGCCATAACACATCTACAGGGTGCCAACTCAATGGCGATGAACACTGAAGTACCTTCTCCAACTACACGCGCAAGTCAACTTGTATATCGATGTCCATTCTGCGCCTCGCGCATGCCTCACCCTGTCGATTTCTACACCATCCTACAAGTCATGCGCATGCCGTACATGTTCTGTCACCGTTGTTTGAAGGTGGCTGCTGCCCTGCCAGCCTTGGAAGAGCTGTCGATCACATCGAACACACTGCCACTCGACTTTCCCGAATTCTTGTTCGATGCGCCGTTCAAGCTCAAGTTCCTCTCAATGCACATACTCCCGTTCGACGACATCTTTGCACGCGCATACCACGAACTCATTCCGGACGACAGCAGACGTGCGCCACAGGTTCCGTGTTTGGCACAACTTACCGACCTCGAGATCCTCGTATTCGAGTCGGCAGCAAACTTGCACAACTTCCACCTTTTCCTCTACCGGCTCGACGCTCTCACGCACCTCAAGCTGCACGTACGTTCGTGGAGCCCCGTGCGCAGGGTACTGCGCTTCATCACGCTGGCGGCGAGGCTCGTGTCGTTCAGCGTGCAATTTGATGCAATCGAGACTGACGATGAGCCGCGTGCATGGCCCACTCATGTGCTCGATGGAGTGGCGCCCCTCCCGCGGTTGAAGTATCTTGAAGTGGATGAACACGACTTGCAATACCGCGATTCGAAGATCTATCTAGAGGTGAGTCTGATTAGCATCAGGCTTACGCCCTCCATTAATGACGAGTAAATACCTCGCTCACAGAGAGACTCACGCCGCAGCGTTCGCATCTACCCACTCTTGAACTTCCATAGATTCCCACACGTCGCACGAATCTGTCCATCCATCGAGACGTTCGTCTGGGCGCCGTCAGTCGTGCATTGTGCACACATGACATTTGAGTATTACGAAGTGCTTTCCCCGCTGTTTGTGCTCGACTTGTTCGCACAGTGCCGGACGTTATGGCGATTCATGGCACCCACCCCTGTCGGTGAGCACGGGGTAGACGTAGTGGGGGATGTCGTCTTAATCCCGGACACGGCAAGTCCATCCGATCTCCACCAGTGGTTTAGGCTATATTCTCGGACTGTGACGTACGGGGACTTTGACCCCGGGATGTGGCGGAGAGTGTAGTCAAGGTACGTCAGCATCTACTGCTTCTGCTTGTGAGATTATTTTGTTCTTGCGTCGTTCAATGTCATGACACAGGTCACACTTGGTGGATGTGGCCAAGTCGCACCAACCAAACTTAATTACATGGAACGTCACGCTTTCGACTAGTAGAGACCCAGTCCTGGTGGTAGCTGGTTAGCCATATGAGTCCATATAGTCCGTATTACAGGCAATACAAGCAGGATCCGAATAGTCATGATCAATGTACCGACCCCTCGCACGCCATTCACTGGATCACACGATATCGGTGGGAACTTTCCGATCGGTCGTTGCATTTGTGTCGGAGGTCTGCTCTGCCAGTGATGCATCGGCCTCATGATGGCTTGTTGCAAGGTCCTGAAGACGTTTCTGGGTCTGAATACAGGGCTTGAAGGTAGCCGGTTGCGTCGTCGCCGATGCCAGCCCCGTGCGTATCACAATAACAGAGAACACCAGTCCCTAATAACCGCAACACCAGCGCATTCGGCAGATGAACAACAGCATCAACCAGAACGAAGAACAGGACGTACAACGATGGGGGGCATGACGATGAGAACGCCCGCGAGCACTTCCTTGTCCAAGTGCGCGACCGCGGTGATGACGAGCAGGAGGGAGGCGGCGGAGTAGATTGCGGCGGACTGGATGATCGCCTCGAAGACGGGGCGGTATCTCAGGAAGTTGTATCTCATACGTGCGCAGTGGTTTTCGTCTGGGGAGGATGGAGTGGTGCTCGTGAGGATGCGCCACATCACAAGACCTTCCGGAGGAGGGGGCGCAGGACATGAGTGTGGTTATTCCTGGCTTGAGAATATTTTCGGGGTGACCAAGGTGACTCACCGCTGACGAGCGTGTTGATCAAGAACGAGGAGAGGAAGAACACTACCCAGAGCGAGGAGTCGATGCCGGTCAGAAAGCCACCAACTGATCGCACCGGCGTGAGTAACGCGAACACGGTATCGCGGACATGTACGTCTGGTATGGACAGGGCGACTCACCGGCGTCAGCGACCATCAACAATGCAGGCACGATGACGATCAACTTGCGCCTATCCCAGACGACGTAGAGACGATACACCTTGCGGCAGTGAATATGTTAGGACGAGAGAGGCCCGGCCAGTGCCAGTGGAATGCTCACCATCATGCCGTCCGCGACGAGCGTTTGCATGACGTAGATGTCGAACCGTGTCAGGTCGTTCACGTCTTGACGGAATAATCCAACGGCGAGGTCGTACGTCGATAGGTCCTTTTCGGAGTTTGGTCCCTTCCAATCCCAGACGGAGACGGAAAAGCAGCGCAGGATCGACAGGAGAAGATGCTAAACCAGATGAGGCCGGCTTTCTGTAGCGGAACAAAGTGCCGAGACTTACTCCCAGGGCTAGCAGCACCAAAATGGTGTTTGCACATACGAAGAGCGTATTGCGCCTCCGAAGTGACCGTGGCTGCTTGCCATTGGCCATGATGTGAACGCTGATCGCGTACACTACCACGAGCACCCCGAAGAGCAGTGCCTCGATGAATGTGGGGATGAACGTCGGGGCAAATATGCTCATGTCGAAACTGAGGGACATCTGTAGGAGACGTATACGGTTTCATTACGGGTGTTTGGTGACATATTGGTGACGACTTACGCGTGCACTACTGGATCGCTCCATGCCAGCTGGCCACTTGAAGGGAAAGTGTGAAGACTCTGCTTCGATGTGCAATGCAATGATTTATACATATGTATAGACTCAATAAGTCCAGCCAGCAGACATCTCATCACGCACAGGTCGCAGACCAGAAGTGTCTGCCAGAGATCGCCGATGAAGTACTAGTGGGGAAAAGGAATCCCTTTGCGAGCCGAGCTGGCCGATCTCCGTCAGACGCGTCTGTGATGGGTTACTCTCATGCTACATAGCTGTGAGAGGAAGCTGCGATGCAATTGAACGCTGCTTCGCAATGCAACAATCTCAGTTGTTTGCGCAGTATGAAGGTTGGATGAGAGGTCTATTTTGTCACGACCAGTGGCCCCGGCTAGCTCGGTGACGTTGATGCCACCACCGAGATCTATTGTGCAACGAGCGAACCCCGTCCTAGCCCCCGTCGTCTAATGGTTATGACGCCAGACTTCTAAGGTATCTGGCGGTTGCGGGTTCGAGTCCCGCCGGGGGCTCGGCGCAGCTTTTTCGGTAACGATATGGCCGGAGTTCCAGCGGCGGTCAAGGTTGGAACTTGCAACTTGGTTAACATCGAACCCTCAGCGTGCACCGTTCCTCCATCCTCAACATGACATCAGGGGTTCACGAACTCTGACATGAATACGCTCATACCCGCTTAGTATCGCAGTAATCTCCTGCCATGTCAATTCGCCGTCGACACGCGTCGTTGCTGGCCGGCGCAGCTGGAGTTGAACTGAGCCGGACCAGGGTGAGTTCTATGTTCCACGTTGTTCCGAAAAGACTAAAATACTTTGACAATATCGGCGACTCGGGGCTTTGATCGGTGATCGATGCTCGGGACCGGGCTCTGGGACACGACGTTGCGACGGGATCGGGAGAGCCCGCGGACTACAGGCGGCCGAATTCCGAACAAGTGGGCGTGGAGCGCCCGCGTATTCATGTTGCATCGTGTTCCCAGAGGAGCTCTTCGCTCCAGAGTTGTAACGAGTGCCGTCATGCATCCACCAAATACTCCCGCTCGCCACTGTCCCCGAGCGGGGAGCCTGGGCAGTTCAAGATACAAGTGAGTATCGCCGTACATTGCCCGATGTCGGTGGTCGGGCCCTGCTGACAACACACGTCTGACATAGACCATAGTCAGCAAACATGTGTTCAGGAGGTCCATGCTCAGGCGTCAGGGCTCCGAGGACACGCTAGAAATGTGCAGCACGATCGCGGCCGGTCGCGGTGCCAAGGGAATGAGCTAGAGACATTGCCATAACGGGCAGAATTGATGGATGACGTCTTGGCTTCTTGCTTATGACGTCGTCGTATCTGACGCGCGCGAGGTGCAAAAGCTCGACGGCTCCGAGTCTTGCAATCCCAAGCACACTCTTTTCCCCTGAAGCTCTCTGACAGAGCCCACATCCACACCCTCTCCACCTGCGCCCCAACACCCTGACCGCCATTCCCGTTTCCGCCCACACCCCCCACCCCGCCGTCATGGCCTCACTCAAGAAGGCGATCGCCAGGGTCGTCTCGCATACACGCTCGTCGTCGAAGAGCAGCTCTCGCACGGCCCTCAATGGCGAGGCGCATCCACCCGCCAATGGTCATGCCGAGAAGGCTTTGAAACACGCGACATTCGAGGACACGAATGCCAGCGGCAAGACCGCCGCCCAGAAACAACAGGAGGCAACCAACGGTCTCAAGCGACCGAGTAGCGTGGTTGACGACCGCAGGTTATCTTTCACCGAGCAGAAGGAGGAGAGGCGGGAGGAGCGAGAAGTCAAGGATGAGGAGGAGACTCGCTTGCGGAAGGAGCGCATGAAGAAAGCCCATGAGGAGGTATGTTTCTAAATCGTATGCTTCGCCTCGCGAAGTTGCACGTCTACTCCCATTACGCGTACATCCCTGACGAGCTGTTGGGCTGTAGGACCCTCTACGAGATAACTGGGGAGACCTCGAGCTCAACAAATCCCAATCACGTCCCGGTGAGTTATAATATGACGCATATGACGCTGCCTGACACTTGTTCGTTAGATCGAAAACTCGACAGCATCCGTGATATACCACATAAGCAAGTAGGTGAACGAGTTGCGTTTCGCGCACGAGTGCATCATATACGCCCCTTGGGTACGGATATCATCATATTAGCCGATGTCTACCGGTGCTAATGGGCGCATACAGGCACCAAGATCGTGTTTATCATCCTGCGACACCAGTTCACCACCGTACAAGGCGTCCTGACCGAGGAGCCTGATTTCGTCTCTCAAACTATGGTTCGGTGGGCCGAGGGTATCGCTCGAGAATCCATCGTGCTGGTCGAGGGCCTCGTCCAGCGACCGCCGCCAGACCAAGAGCAGATTCATAGTACGTCAATCCATGAGTACGAGATCAAGATCTGCAAGGTGTGTCTGCTTGAGCTCCAAGACTGCGCTGATGCTCACGCTCGCGCAGCTGCATGTTGTCGCTGCACCCAGCGCTACGCTTCCATTCCAGGTAGAAGACGTCTCGAGACCGAAGGAGTACTACGATAGGGTCCGTCGCAATCATACATACATCATGTGCCCGACTCTAACACTATGTTCAGGAGGATGCACAGTTCGTACGTGTTGGTGAACGAACACGCCTTGATCATAGGGTATTGGACCTAAGGGTGCGTACTCTGGTTCTGTGTAGGAACGTAAGAACTGACTCACCCAACGGATAGTCGCCTGCTTCGCAATCCATCTTCCGGGTGCACGCTGGTGTCTGCGAGCTCTTCCGTTCATATCTAACCGAACGAGGGTTCATTGAGATCCACTCCTCGAAGCTCCAGGGTTCTGCGACAGAATCCGGCGCAGCGGTGTTCAAAGTTGACTACTTCCGGAGGCCGGCATACCTTGCGCAGAGTCCCCAGCTTGCGAAGCAAATGTGCATTGCGGCGGACATGGAGCGCGTCTTCGAGATCGGCCCCGTCTTCCGGGCGGAGAACTCGAACACGCATCGACACCTGACGGAGTTCACGGGTCTCGATCTCGAGATGGCTATTGAGAGCCATTACCACGAGGTCATGGATCTGCTGGACGACATGTTCAAGTTCATCTTCAAGGGTCTGCTGTCGCGATACCGAGATGAGGTATGACTCAGTCTTTGAGGCCCTAAACACCTGCTTATCGGCCTAATACAGATCGAAACGGTGAAGAAGTACTATCCTCACGAAGACCTCGTCATCCTGGATGAAACCCCGCGTCTCAAGTTCTCCGAGGCGATTCAGATGCTCAAGGAGTCCGGTTGGCGAGAGGAGGATGGGCGCGAGCTCACCGAATACGAAGACCTGAGCACACGTGCGGAGCAGCGACTTGGTCAGCTTGTCAAGGAGAAATACGGCGCGGACTTCTACATCGTCGATAAGTTCCCAACTGAGGTACGGCCATTCTACACCATGCCCGATCCGGAGAACGAGGTGAGTAGTCTCGCGATTCTCCTATAGCAGTCAAGGCTGACAGGGAATGCAGAAAATCTCGAATTCGTATGATTTCTTCCTTCGCGGGGAAGAGATTCTCTCCGGGGGTCAGCGTGTGCACATCGCACCCCTCCTCGAGGAGCGCATGAAGGAGGCTGGTGTCGAACCAGAAACGATGAAGGAGTACGTTGACGGCTTTAGATGGGGATGCCCACCGGTGAGTACTGCGGTTCGGGTTCGTCATCGTGCGGTCTTTGACGTCAATCCATATAGCACGGCGGAGGTGGCGTTGGTCTGGAGCGCGTCGTCATGCTCTTCCTGAAGCTCGGGAACGTCCGCTGGGCAAGTTTATTCCCGCGCGATCCGCGCAGCTTCCTCGTGCGCGGTCAGGACCCCACAGAGGCTGCGATGGCTGCGGCGAACTCGCTCATCCTACATGGTCCCGAATCCACCACCTTCCAACCGGGCAAGCGACATGGCGAGATGCCCCCGCTTGAGAACGTGCGTACCTCTTGTCCGCTCGCGCTACTTCATCATGCTCATCGCGTCTCGAACAGCTCATTGCCAAGTACGGCGACGCGACCAACACGAGTTGGACAGACCCTGCGTGGACCGTCTGGCGCGACAGGGCCACGGCTGCGGCCGTGGGCTATATTCCGCAGGACGGGTTCGCAGTCATCTTCGGCAACCCTCTGTGCGCCCCGGAGCAGATCCCGCGCGTCGTCAAGGCGTTCCTTGCGCACGTGCACGAAGAAGGCCTCAAGCCCGTGTGGTGCTGCGTTGACCGGGCAACGGAGCGATATCTCGCAGAGGAGCTCGGATGGGGCGCCGTCGTGGCCGTCGCCGAGGAGCGCATCAACCCGACAGAGGTCGACCCCGCGGAGGCGGACAAGACGGTGCGGCGCAAGATCCACCGGGCGGAGCGCGAGGGCGTGAAGATTGTGGAGGTCGGGCAGGAGATGGATCAGCAGGTGCGGGAGCAGCTCGAGCGGCGGTGCAAGGAGTGGGAGGAGAACCGCAAGGGGACGCAGATCCATCTGACGGGCGTCAGGCCGTTTGATGACATGCAGCACAGGAAGTACTTCTATGCTGTGGACAAGGAGGGCAAGGTACGCTGCGGTCTCTATAGTTTGCTCGTCGTTCGCTCAGGCTAACACCCCAATCCGCGCTTTCATAGCCATGCGCGATGGTCGTGCTCGCGCAGCTCTCGCCGAAGCACGGGTTCCAGATCAAGTGGGCGCTGGAGTTCCCGGGTGCGCCGCTGGGCGCGATCGAGTACATCCTGACGCACGTCATCAAGAAGCTGGGCGACGCGGGCGTGAAGACGGCGACGTTTGGCGCGGGGGCGACGGGGAAGCTGCAGGCGGTGGAGAATGTGCACGGGTTCCGGGTGAAGACGCTCGAGAAGGCGTACAACGGGCTGTCGTCGACGTTCAACCTGACGGGCAAGGGCGACTTCCGGAGCAAGTTTGGGACGTGGCACGATCCGGTGAGTTTTTCGTGTTTTGGATTTGGGATCAGGGTTTGGGGGTTTGGGGTGAGGGGCTGACTGTTCGTACGCCAGCTGTACATTTGCTATCCTAAGGGAGGGCTGGGCATGAAGGGCATCGAGGCGATCATGACCATGCTCCAGAAGCCCAAGTAAGGGAGACTGCGACTTCCCCGCCGACGCGACGGCAACACGACGTGCATGCACCAGAAGTGCGGTTTGTGATATTGTGGGGAACACTCGGGAAAGGATGCCTTTCACGACCCGGCTGTTTCAGCCAGGCGGGCACTGAAAGGGATAGGTTTTCGCAGCCCGGAATATCCCGTGAGTATCACAATCCGCCTTTCTCGCGGGTGCACGTCGTGCAACCACGACCACAGCGACCTGGCGGATGGTAGCGACTACGACTTATTACGGTTCGCGCGCAACACACGACACACGACACACGACCTACCACACTCGACCACACATGACATTCTCTGGGATCTCTTGTTTGGATTCCGTCGACTGGCATCTTCCATCCCTTGCTCAGAGCTACATCCTTATCCAGTTCCCGAGGGCATGCTTCACATACCCGC